TGAATGGGCGGGACGTGAGAACTGGAGAAAGCAGCCGCCGCCCTCTTTTGGGGCGTGTCACTCACTGAGGTGTCTGCAGTGAGCCAGGTTCAGGGCCGCCTTGACCAGCTGCTGGATCGGCGGTTTTGGTGGTGGCGGCGGCGGCGGTGGGGACTGGATGGGAGCACTTCGGGAGGGGGGAGATGAGATGAGATGAGATGGGCAGACAGATGGAAACACGTCGGTCCTAGACTCTATTACTCCGTAGATGTCGTCGCCGCAGTCGGTCGGTCATCCGCTCGGGTCGGGGTTTGGGCTGAAAGCTGGCTGGGATTCTCCACGCGGGAACTTTTTTTGTTTTTTTTTTTTCCCCTTCCCCTTCGCTGTTCTTTTTGGATCTAAGGTTATCAATCAATCTCTTGCTTTTACTGTGTTACGCCGAGGAGTTTTGACTGTGCTTCTTCTCCCGTCGGCCTACCTACCGAGGGTGCACACCACGGTTCTCAACCTACACGAAGTGCGCTGTGTGTGTGTGTGTGGTTTTGAGAGTTCGCGATATCAATAGCCACGAGATCTATCAATATAGATAAACATGCACCAGATACGTTAAGCTTTCTAGTAACGATGCAGCTCACTTGTATTTCGTAGTTGCAATCTGATCTTGGTAGCCAATACCGTGGTTTGCATTATTCACAGAGCCATCTTATTACGTACGTGCCGAGCAACTCTCTGTCTCTGTGTGTAAAAGCATCCTCCGCAGCGGAGCTGCGAGCAAAGTCCCTGGGACTGTTTGCGGTGGTGGTTTGTTGACTTTGGAATGCCTGCTCCGTGACCGTCGAATGAGACTCGAGGATTCCTTGCTCCGTCAACAGCCAACACAGTTCAAGCGATCCAACGCACCGTAAGGCTGCGAACCGAACTACCTTGGACAACCCAATTCCGAGATGAGGTTTCGAAATAGTACGTACGGATACAGATTCAACCCCTCCTTTTTTTTTTCTCCAGCAACGGCGGCAAAGAATAAGATGGCCCCGGAGAACCACCGGAGGAAAGAAACCCCTGCTTAGCTTGTCTTCAGGGGACTACGTGCTAAGCACCTACGGTAGCCAAATGGAAAGACGAAAAAAAAAAAAAAAAAAAAACACGCGACAGCGGGTTCGGGAATCGGGAGTTCAGAAGCGAGGGGCAGAAACCCAACCCAAGTCCCCCAAAATGGAGGGGCGACGTCGGCGGGGTAAAGGACAAGGTATGGGAAGACAGGAGCGCATTGTATCGGGTTGCGTCGCACTTTCCGACTCAAATCGGCTGAGCATTTTCGCATGTCAGCTCAGTCTGTCACCCACTGCAGCGCCGCACCACTCGCTACACCGACGGCAGCCCAGCCGTGGCCGTCTTCGTTGTCGCACACTCCCGTCACTTAGATTGGCACCTTTCACTTCCGATCGCGGAACTGCGACTCGACGCGCCGTTCTTCGGACACTTTCTTTCTTGTCAATCAATCTCCCGTTCATGCTAGCCTGCTTCTGTGTGGTCCTGGGTTCCAGTCCAACCACTCACCACACCTTACGAATTGCAATGATCAATTCACATGTGTCGCAAATCTTCGTCTCTGCGATTTTCTTATCTTGAACCTTCAAGTGGCATAATGGAGAAACCAAAAGAACACCCCATGGGTCTATGCAAGACATGACGCCTGCTGCGTCATGGGCCAGATTGTGACAAGCCCCCTTTCCCTTTTCCCAGATAATTCTCTAGTGCCGCCATCAGCGCTGCCGCACCAGCATCGACGATTTGGGGAGAAGTGTACGGACAAGCGAATGGTAGATGGGCTTCTAGCGTCGTAGAGCTAGAAGCCCAGCTTTGAAAACTTGAAGATTTGATCTACCTTGCTGTATCTCGACACCCGGGGCAACCAATAAGAGACGGTTGATAGGACTACAGTTCGGCTCTTGTTCCCAAGTGGCACGCCACGGCATGCAAGGCCATTTCCAATGACAGCAACATCTGACGGGGTCCCTTTTTTGTTCTTCCCCAGTGACAGTGACAGGTCAAGAAAGAAGGGCGAGACACAGAAGAAATCCGTGCATGCGGAAGCATGTGCCAGTGGTGGGGGGTCCGCGGGCATGGGCTGCAATTGTTGGATGACGTCCCCCAGGTTCTGGCCTGTTTGGGACACGCGCGCCGGGCTTGTCGATGAGAGAGGCATTCGCGCATTCCAGGGCATGTCCTCTTCTTCCCTCTCCCGAACAATGGAGCGTCCGGGCCATCCCTGAGACCCCTGTGCCCCTGCAGTTCAGTTGCGGACTCCTGGTTTCCGCCCCAGCAAATGCCTGTTCGGCTCGCCGCCTCCGGGATCGCAACCGCTCGCGCGGCAGCGCAAACCCTCTTGTCTCGTAGTCTCTTTGTGATGGTCGTGAATAATTGTCACTCGGCAGCAAATCAGAGAGCTGCATGAAGGGACCTCGAGAGGCCCCCGCCGGCCACATAGCGTGAAAACCCGGGCCCGGTCCCGGCACTCTCATCCAGCCTAGACTCGCTGAGTCTTTTTTACGTCAACCCGCGTGGGTTTCACCCGAGCCCTTTTTTATTTTCTGTTAGCTATGGCACACGACAAATTGTCGGTCTGGCGCCGAATGAACGCGCTTCAGACGTGAGAGGCGAGGCGAGGCGAGGGAGGAGGAGTCCTATCTCTCTCTTTTTCCACCGTCCACGCCCCCCACGGCCGACCCGGACATGTCTTGCTCTCACGCTAGTCCCTGGTCCCCGCCTGCATCTATCTTCACCATGAAGGGGCTCCCGAAGCTTGGAGGAGTAGATGACCGGGGGGGACATGGGGCAACGACACGCTTCGCCGTTGCCAGCCTGTGAGCTCTTACTCGATTCGATTTGGCTCTCGTTTCGATCGACGGGGTTCCCAGATTTGTATATAATCTTGCGGGCGCACCGCTCTCCCCCATCTTCTCGACTTTGGAACTTCATCAGCTTCTCTCTCTGCCAGACGAACTAGGAACTCACCTCTCAGAGACACAATCTTGAAGCACCATACGTATACAACATACCTCTAAACCGTCAAAATGTCTAACCTTCCTACCGAGCCCGAGTTCCAGCAGGCTTACAACGGTATGTTGCCATCGACAACCATTCTTACACAACGAATCTAACAAGACTAACACCATCTATAGAGCTTGTCAGCACCCTCGAGAACTCCTCCCTCTTCACCCAGAACCCCGAGTACAGAACCGCCCTCGAGGTCGTCTCCATCCCCGAGCGCGTCATCCAGTTCCGCGTCGTCTGGGAGGATGACAAGGGCAAGCTCCAGGTCAACCGCGGATACCGCGTCCAGTTCAACTCGGCCCTCGGCCCCTACAAGGGAGGTCTGAGATTCCACCCTACCGTCAACCTGTCGGTCCTCAAGTTCCTCGGATTCGAGCAGATCTTCAAGAATGCCTTGACCGGCCTCAACATGGGTGGTGGTAAGGGTGGTTCCGACTTCGACCCCAAGGGCAAGAGCGACAACGAGATCCGTCGCTTCTGCGTCTCCTTCATGCGCCAGCTCAGCAAGCACATTGGCGCCGACACCGACGTTCCCGCCGGTGATATCGGTGTCTCTGGCCGCGAGATTGGCTGGTTGTTCGGTACCTACCGCCAGGAGCGCAACAAGTTCGAGGGTGTCCTCACCGGAAAGGGCCTCACCTGGGGTGGTAGCTTGATCCGCCCCGAGGCCACTGGATACGGTGTCGTCTACTACGTCGAGCAGATGCTCAAGTACGCCAACAAGGGCTCCTTCGCTGGCAAGCGTGTCGCCATCTCTGGTTCCGGCAACGTCGCTCAGTACGCCGCTCTCAAGTGCATCGAACTCGGTGCCACCGTTGTCTCCCTGTCCGACTCCCAGGGCTGCCTTGTCGCCGAGGGTGACGCTGCCTTCACCCCCGAGCAGATTGAGAACATTGCCGACCTCAAGGTCCAGCGCAAGTCTCTTACCGAATTCGACCACAAGGGCTCCTTCATGTACATCAAGGGTGCTCGTCCCTGGACCCACGTTGGCAAGGTCGACATTGCTCTGCCTTCCGCGACCCAGAACGAGGTCTCCAAGGAGGAGGCTGAGGCTCTCATTGCCGCCGGCTGCATTGCCATCGCCGAGGGCTCCAACATGGGCTGCACCCAGGAGGCCATCGACGTCTTCGAGGCTCAGCGCAAGGAGAAGGGTGGCGAGGCCATCTGGTACGCTCCCGGCAAGGCTGCCAACTGCGGTGGTGTCGCCGTCTCTGGCCTCGAGATGGCCCAGAACAGCCAGCGCCTGAGCTGGACCCGCGAGGAGGTCGACCAGAAGCTCAAGGACATCATGACCGCTGCCTTCTTCAACGGCCTCAACACCGCCAAGGAGTACGTCAAGGGTGGTGAGACCGAGCTTCCCAGCTTGGTCGCTGGTAGCAACATTGCCGGTTTCGTCAAGGTTGCCCGTGCCATGCACGACCAGGGAGACTGGTGGAACTAAGCGTTCTCGACCGGCAATTCGGAAGAGGAATACGAAAAGTTGATGCGAGTGGCGGCACCCACGTCTAAGGACGATGGGCAGACGTAGTGATGACCTTGAAATTCGGTGTAACGTCTATTTGTATTTCGGAGCTGGCGTTGGCGGCAGGGATACCTGAGTTAAATCAATACCAATTACTTTTTTTGATAAGCAAATTACTTACTGCTTTTGAGTGATGACTGGTCGCCAGTGAAGTGTGAACAAAGATACCAACAGGCTGGAGTACTTTGACAGCCATCTTTCCAAGTGCCGACTGAAGGATTCGAATAAGCCGAATCCTTCAGAGAGCGCCACCTTGCCTAGAAGGGCGCGAGTCTGAATGGGTGTGAAGAGAAGGTGCTGACAAGAGAATATACTGAGACCAGTGCTGACACTCTAAAGCCACTTTCAATTGCGGCAAGAAGCCGGCTCGTCGGCCGTTGACATCTCTGACATCTGATAGAAGCCAGTAAAGTCGCTCTACTCACTCAAAGATGATCATCATGTATTAGCGATATGAATCAACTCTGATAGGTCGACATTGGATACCAGGCACGTATGAGGGTCTCTCGGGCAACCACGTAGCGGCTATTTCCGCCGTCTGCCGTAGGCACCGATGCTCGATTACCAGCTTGAAGGGTTGAACACAGTGCTCAACGAGAGAATGACGGCCCGAATTGCGTTCTGCCTGCCGATAGATCGATACTTTGAGCGGCAAGACAACGTTGCTGGCTTTGAAGAATCTGCCCAACTGAATGTAGCAGTGCGACAACGGATAAATGAACACCGGCTGTGGCTCAAGACCTTGAACTCCACGCGCACTTGACGACTCCTTTTGTTCAGGGTTATACATGACATAGAATGCCTCCGCAGACCCTGGCTGGTCTGGGTGACACTGACAAGACGAGAGATGGGCTGCGTGCGCCAGACCCGCATCGCCGAGCTGACGTTGGCCAAACAGGTTTCTAGAAGCAGCAACAGTTATCGTCGATGCCCATTGTGTTTCCTCAAGGTACCTCAGATAGGGATAGTGTGACTGCTGGAAAGAGAAGTTTCCGGGGATTTCACCTGTTGTGAAACGATTCAACGATAATGCTGATTCGACCACAAGCAAGATCCCGCGCAGCACAGCATGTTGGTGATGTTTTATTTAACGTCGTTTTATAAATATCGCGTGTTTCCAGTGGTGGATTTGTTGAAGAAGGCGTTCCTAACGGACGTAAGAACATTTATCTCTGGACGAGGTACATCGTAACGTACCATTTCCAGTGCCTCTCGCGTCTTGCGACTATGATGCGTACGACAGCTGTAGGGACTGAGCGGAACAGATTGGAGGGTGTTGGTCACTTAGCTGTGCTGGATAAGCGTCGCTCTGGCACTCGTTTCTGTCGATCGGGCCTTGCAGCATGCCATCGAATTGCGGCGGCGCACAACTGGGCGAGTGACGAGGCCACCAACGTCGTTGTAAGTCGTTACGACGCATTGGCCAGACGCTGATGGGTTGACCCCTGCAGCAGCGGCGGTCTGATGTACCTACCTAGTAAGTCTGCAATCGCGTGGGCAGTGAACTCAGCCCTACCCAAGAGTTGAAAGGCTGACTCGTGGATTGCCAAATGGTATTGGACAATGACGGGAGACTCGGCCCTGGCATATGTTTCATCGCACGATTGCTGACCGTTGATGTCTTGTCGATCTACCAATGACGAGGCAGACGAGGCACGCAGCAAAATGGAGCTGGAGATGACCGAGACGAATGATGTAACTTGACCGCAAAGCTGGATGTAAGATGAAAGAGGCACAGTTCAGCCTGACGGTTGCCTTGGGGTCTCGGGAGCGATCTGATTGGAAAGATTGGTCTGTCGTGATGTATTCCGTATATCTGACGAGACTCGGAAGGCACCGATGGGCTCTGAGTGGGGCCCGCCGAGTCGGGATGGCACTAGCGGGGCAGTAGCGGATGGCGCAGCGACCACCCTCCCGCAGGGGCCGGACCAGGATCCACTGCGGGCCCTTGCCGCAGGCCCGCGTTGTTGGTGCGAGCTTACGGGCTACCAAATTACGCAGTCAGTTACCGCGGACTATTTGTGACATTGATCATGGATTAGAACACAGTCAGACGAGACATGTGGGCAGAGATTGTGGTATCAGGAGCCTCGGACTTCGTCACCCACTCAATACTCCGTACAGAGGCCGCAATTCCGGTCAGTGTAATTTGATGTTGGAACCAGGTTCACCACCCTTCTCCCTGTCACCTGGAATTGCATGCCAATTCCATGCGGCCTGTCAGTGGCCGGCGCATGTCAAGCATCAATCGTTGTTTTACGTCCTCAATCACATGAATGAAGCAGACGAGCTTTCCTACTGACTACATGGCCGACCCGAGAAAAAGTTGCATATAGTCAATGTCAGTCTTGCCTATTCTCATGCTTCGCCTCATAGAATGCTTCTCAGCGGCGCATGTGCTTCTACATCGTCATCGCCTATTATGGTAGTCTGGTTCGACAAAATTTTGCAGAAGCTACAGAAGAAGACGGAAGGGACAATACCTCATGTTTATCAAGGCCAAGGCTTGGTAGCGTGAAATCCTTGCCCTATCGTGAATAATGTCCAGCCGAGGCCCCTGCCCCAGTCATGTCGAACTCACCTTGCACCAACACATCGGGGTAGGGATACGGCTTAGTCTCGTAAGGTGATCCTGTCGCACAAGACTCTGGCAGCTCTCTGTTTCAATGGCTATCTCATTCTTTCGGACTGAGACCAAGCTAGTCAAGTCCACCACTCGATTGTCTCAGCTTTCATGTGGGGAGACGGGCAGCTCGGGAGCCGATTTTGCTTCAATCCAGACTTGCACTGGCTTAATTGAGAACATCTGGATTGCCTGGGTCTGTTGTCGTCTATCAAACTTCCCCATCTCAATCATGTCTTGAAGAGGAATTGAGCCGCAAAGCGTGCAACATCAACGATTGCGGTTGTCTTGTTTGAAAAGGGCCTGGAGAATTCTGTGACCAGGGTTTCGATGTCGATTGTGGCTGCCTGGGGTCAGTCAAGGGTAAGGTCCAATTCATGGTGGCATTTTCCTGTTGCTGAATTCATCCTCAACCCCAGGATGCTTTAGGCAATCACTGATTGTTCGGGAAGGGTGGTCTGGAAAAAAGATACTTGACGCACGTGCCAAGCGGAAGTTCCTTTCGGCTGAGCCCTGGAGTGGCTGCCAGTTGAAGATAAGCGGGGCAAGGGTGCAAGAGGACGGGACTCACTCAGGTCGAAGTCCAAACGGGCAACCACTCCGTCGGGTGGAGAAATCTACGGCACGGTACGTATTCCTTCTTCCTTCCCACTGGGAACGGCCGCCTGGCTAAAGCCGAAGGGGAGACAACTTTCGACCAGTTTCATTGGCCCGTTTGCGCACACGCAAAGAGCGACCCAAGAGACATGTCTTTACCGGCCATTCAGGATCCATCTTTCCGCTAGTCTAGGCCTGGAAAAAAGGTACCTAGTGAAGTCGTCTTTTTTAGAGTGCGTACGTATATGTATCTTTTCTTCACTTTTTCCTCCTGTCCACCGAGGTAAGGTAGGTACTGCTCGTAGCACTCAGCTCGCCCAATCCAACCCCATCAAAGGCACCAATGGCACCACCCAATACAATGTACATCATGAGGCAGCTTCTTTCTTTTCTGGTCATGACAGACTCGGTCTGGCCAATAGACTCATGCCGTTTCGCATCTTCTGCAATAGTTGCTGCACACTAAGAAGTGATTGTCACAGCCCAACTCTCCATCAGCCCTCCTCCTTTGCACAGTACAATCCTACTCCGATTACTATCCACACGACGCTACTCTTATTTTCGGCAACGCCTTCTGTACATCTGCAGCTCTGCATTCTATTGCGCCGGCGCAACCGCCCACTCACACCTCGAGAAACAGGGCGCTGAACCTCAGTCTCACCCTCACTCCATCCCCCGTCTTCTTGTCCCCGGCTTCAGGGCCTCAGCTCGTGCCGAGACTGCGGTCTTCTCTGTTGCTTTCCCTCATTGTCTGCCTTTTTGCCTACCCATAGCCCAATAAACCCGGGCCCGGATTTCAGTCTCAGGCCCCGGCTTTCCAGCCAGCCTCACTAGACCGGTTCGCTCCAACTTTAGTGCAAGAATGAATGAATTCGGATTCGTGCTCTAGGCCCGAGACACAAGATAGCTGAGCTATCAAACTATGTTGGCCCTGGCTTGCCTCAATCTGCTAAGTTCGACCTCAGATTGTAGTTACCGTAGTTCACATGCTGACAATGCATTCTCTAAGCTGTGCGTGTTGGTTTGGCTTCAGCTCGAGATCAACAGTCACCTCTTCTTCTCGCGCAGTATGCCCATCACACTTGCAATCGATGACGGATCCGGCACTGGTCCTTGCCGGCTCGACGAGCTCGTTCGTTCGTAGCGCACCCAAGGCACCTAGTGACTTAGTATCCCCATGTGCGTGTCGGCAAGGATGTTCCCAGGACCCCGGTCATCCATGGTGGTGTTCCCTCCTGGTCTGACTAGGGTGGGTTCTCTGTTTAGGTATCTACATAGACTAGTGTGGGGTTTCTTACTAGGAATAGTTCGCAGCGGCGCATCTCCCTCTGCTTGGCCCGCCGTGGATCCCCCAATGAAGCATTCTTACATCTTCTCTGTAAAGCCCATTTCTCTCTTCCGCCCTTCATTCTGCGCTCATCATCCGCATTCATCTTCTCAGCCTTGAAGCGTGTATCTACTTTTCTGTTTTGTTGCTATATAGAGTCTGGCGGAACCCCTCTCATCCTCAGCTCATAACCACTCACCAACCATATTAACCCAGTATCTTGGCAGCATTTCCTAATCAGCAGAGCCTTTCTCAGGAGTCTCACACTTGCTCGTCAACTTTGCTTTTGAGTAATATATACCCTGGCCTTATCCGCGCTTGGATATTCCAGCCCTAGAGGCGCCAAACACATGGCTCCAATGGCTACTACAGAGGGCCTCAAGAACGGCACCGAATCCGGTCCCAGCCATATTAATGTGTCCAAAGCCAATGGATACCACTTGGACAGCAACGGCACCAATGGTCACAACGGTCACAACGGCTCGACACCCAGATATGCCGGCTTCTCGCCTGCTTCAACAGACTCACGCCCGCAGACAGCGTCCTCAAAATCTTATCAAGAGGAGCCCCCCTCCAATGGTATCAGATACAGCAAATCTCACAGAATCCCGACCTTCGGAATTCACGAAGAAGACAACGCCCCTAGATCGAGGAGCTACGCCAACATCCGCACATATGCCGACGATGCCCGAAGGCAATATCCTCGCATATCAAAGCCGGTTGAGCTGATGCGCAGCAGCTATGATGTCGTTGTCATTGGTTCAGGGTACGGTGGTGCTGTCGCCGCATCCCGCCTCGCCCGTTGCCAAGATGCCAACGGCAAGCGTCAGTCTGTATGCGTACTGGAGCGAGGAAAAGAGAAGTGGCCTGGTGAATATCCTACTGGCGTTCTCGATGCCTTTGACGAGCTTCACGTTTCCGGCGAGTTTGCCCCTGGTTGGCTCCCCAGCACAACTGTGGAAAAGGGTGACCCGACTGGCATGTACCACTTGATCTTCGGAAAGGGGCTGAACGCCGTCGTTGGCAATGGTAACTACATGCTTTCCTGTTATGTTGAAAATCATCTGCTGACTGATGACAGGCCTGGGTGGCACGAGTTTGATGAACGCCAACGTCTTTCTAGAAGCCAACGAGGCCACCTTGTCTATGCCTATCTGGCCCAAGTCCATCAGGGAGAACCCCAAATGTCTGGAGAAGTGTAAGCCATTCGCCCCTAGGATTTTGTACGAATCTTTGGAGACATTACTGACACGTAGTCACTCAGTTTACCAAAGAGCTCGGGATGTTCTTGAGCCCACTCAATACCCAGATGACTGGCCCGAACTTCCCAAAGTCAATCTCTTCAAAAAGCAGGCTGCCGCTCTTGGCATGTCCGACAAGTTCAAAATGGTCCCTCAAACAACTAGATTCCGCAATGGTCCCAACAGTACTGGTGTGGAGATGTCTCCATCAGCCTTGACCGGCCAGGACTGCACTGGTGTCAATGATGGCTCCAAATCGACTACATTGGTGACTTACCTGGCTGATGCCTGGAACTGGGGCGCAGAAATGTTCTGCGAGAGCGAGGTTCGTTTCATCAAGAAGGCCGACCCGCGCATTGGAGGGTACCTCATTTTCTTCGCCTGGCATGGCCGGAACCGAGGTCACTTCAAGGCCAATCTCCACGGAGACTTGATGTGGGTGCATGCGAAGGAGTGCGTGTTCCTCGGTGCCGGTGCTATTGGTAGCACTGAGATCCTTCTCCGTAGCAAGGAGATGGGACTGCCACTGAGTCCCCGCGTCGGCGAAAACATGAGCGGCAATGGCGATATGCTAGCCTTTGGGTAAGTTTGGACCTTTCTATTCTACTCCGAGACGTACGCGACTGACCGCGATCTTAGATATAACATGGACGAGGAGGCGAACGCGATCGGGAAGCCCTTCCCCAACCCGTATAACCCTATCGGACCTACCATCAACTCCGTTATTGATGACCGCGAAGGGCACGAGAACCCTCTTGATGGATATGTCATCCAAGAAGGAGCTATACCTCGTTCTTTGACACCGTTCCTTCAGACATTATTGGAGATGATGCCTGGCAGCATTGAAGCCACTGGAGAACCGTTCCAGGAGAAGGTCCGGTCTGCCTTTGCTCGGTACTCGAGCCATCTATTCGGCGCGTATCG